TTACTAAAGAATCATCTTCATTCCCAACCTATCGATTTCATTATAACCCTAATTAATTACTAAAATCATCTTCATTCCCAACCTATCGATTCCAAACTAATTATAAAATTAATTAATCATCTTCATTCCAACCTATCGATTCCAAGCTAATTATAACCCTAATTAAATACTAAAGAATCATCTTCATTCTTCGATTTAATTAGAGAATTCTTCATTGATTCCAAACTAATTATAACCCTAATTAATTACTAAAGAATCATCTCATTCCCAACCTATCGATTCCAAACTAAATTATAACCCTAATTAATTACCAAAGAATCATCTTCATTCCCAACCTATCGATTCCAAACTAATTATAACCCCTAATTAATTACCAAAGAATCATCTTCATTCCCAACCTATCGATTCAAGATATCCCTAATTAATTACCAAAGAATCATCTTCATTCCCAACCTATCGATTCCAAACTAATTATAACCCCTAATTAATTACCAAAGAATCATCTTCATTCCCAACCTATCGATTCCAAACTAATTATAACCCCTAATTAATTACCAAAGAATCATCTTCATTCCCAACCTATCGATTCCAAACTAATTATAACCCTAATTAATACTAAAGAATCATCTTCATTCCCAACCTATCGATTCAAACTAATTATAACCCCTAATTAATTAAGAAAGAATCATCTTCATTCCCAACCCATCGATTCCAAACTAATTATAACCCCTAATTAATTACTAAAGAATCATCTTCATTCCAACCTATCGAACAATTATAACCCCTAATTAATTACTAAAGAATCATCTTCATTCCCAACCCATCGATTCCAAACTAATTATAACCCCTAATTAATTACTAAAGAATCATCTTCATTCCCAACCTATCGATTCCAAACTAATTATAACCCCTAATTAATTACCTAAGAATCATCTTCATTCCCAACCTATCGATTCCAAACTAATTATACCCCTAATTAATTACAAAGAATCATCTTCATTCCCAACCTCGATTCCAAACTAATTATAACCCTAATTAATTACTAAAGAATCATCTCATTCCCAACCTATCGATTCCAAACTAATTATAACCCCTAATTAATTACTAAAGAATCATCTTCATTCCCAACCTATCGATTCCAAACTAATTATAACCCCTAATTAATTAAGAAAGAATCATCTTCATTCCCAACCTATCGATTCCAAACTAATTATAACCCCTAATTAATTACTAAAGAATCATCTTCATTCCCAAACCTATCGATTCCAAACTAATTATAACCCCTAATTAATTACCAAGAATCATCTTCATTCCCAACCTATCGATTCAAACTAATTATAACCCCTAATTAATTACTAAGAATCATCTTCATTCCCAATCGATTCAAACTTAAACCCCTAATTTACCTAAGAATCATCTTCATTCCCAACCTATCGATTCCAAACTAATTATAACCCCTAATTAATTACCTAAGAATCATCTTCATTCCCAACCTATCGATTCCAAACTAATTATAACCCCTAATTAATTACCAAAGAATCATCTTCATTCCCAACCTATCGATTCCAAACTAATTATAACCCCTAATTAATTACCAAAGACCTATCGATTCCAAACTAATTATACCCCTAATTAATTACCAAAGAATCATCTTCATTCCCAACCTATCGATTCCAAACTAATTATAACCCCTAATTAAATACTAAAGAATCATCTTCATTCCCAACCTATCGATTCCAAACTAATTATAACCCCTAATTAATTAAAAGAATCATCTTCATTCCCAACCTATCGATTCCAAACTAATTATAACCCCTAATTAATTACTAAAGAATCATCTTCATTCCCAACCTATCGATTCCAAACTAATTATAACCCCTAATTAATTAAAGAATCATCTTCATTCCCAACCTATCGATTCCAAACTAATTATAACCCCTAATTAATTACTAAGAATCATCTTCATTCCCAACCTATCGATTCCAAACTAATTATAACCCCTAATTAATTACCTAAAGAATCATCTTCATTCCCAACCTATCGATTCCAAACTAATTATAACCCCTAATTAATTACCTAAGAATCATCTTCATTCCCAACCTATCGATTCCAAACTAATTATAACCCCTAATTAATTACAAAGAATCATCTTCATTCCCAACCTATCGATTCCAAACTAATTATAACCCCTAATTAATTACCAAAGAATCATCTTCATTCCCAACCTATCGATTCCAAACTAATTATAACCCCTAATTAATTACTAAAGAATCATCTTCATTCCCAACCTATCGATTCCAAACTAATTATAACCCCTAATTAATTAAAAAGAATCATCTTCATTCCCAACCTATCGATTCCAAACTAATTATAACCCCTAATTAATTACTAAAGAATCATCTTCATTCCCAACCTCGATTCCAAACTAATTAACCCCTAATTAATTACTAAAGAATCATCTTCATTCCCAACCTATCGATTCCAAACTAATTATACCCCTAATTAATTAAAGAAAGAATCATCTTCATTCCCAACCTATCGATTCCAAACTAATTATAACCCCTAATTAATTACTAAAGAATCATCTTCATTCCCAACCTATCGATTCCAAACTAATTATAACCCCTAATTAATTACTAAAGAATCATCTTCATTCCCAACCTATCGATTCCAAACTAATTATAACCCCTAATTAATACTAAAGAATCATCTTCATTCCCAACCTATCGATTCCAAACTAATTATAACCCCTAATTTAATTACTAAAGAATCATCTTCATTCCCAACCCATCGATTCCAAACTAATTATAACCCCTAATTAATTACTCATCTTCATTCCCAACCTATCGATTCCAAACTAATTATAACCCCTAATTAATTAAGAAAGAAATCTTCATTCCCAACCTATCGATTCCAAAACTAATTATAACCCCTAATTAATTACTAAAGAATCATCTTCATTCCCAACCTATCGATTCCAAACTAATTATAACCCCTAATTAATTACTAAAGAATCATCTTCATTCCCAACCTATCGATTCCAAACTAATTATAACCCCTAATTAATTACTAAAGAATCATCTTCATTCCCAACCTATCGATTCCAAACTAATTATAACCCCTAATTAATTAAAAGATCATCTTCATTCCCAACCTATCGATTCCAAACTAATTATAAACCCTAATTAATTTAAAGAATCATCTTCATTCCCAACCTATCGATTCCAAACTAATTATAACCCTAATTAATTAAAGAATCATCTTCATTCCCAACCTATCGATTCCAAACTAATTATAACCCCTAATTAATTAAAAAGAATCATCTTCATTCCCAACTATCGATTCCAAACTAATTTATAACCCCTAATTAATTACTAAAGAATCATCTTCATTCCCAAACCTATCGATTCCAAACTAATTATAACCCTAATTAATTAATCATCTTCATTCTATCGATTCCAATAATTATAACCCCTAATTAATTACTAAAGAATCATCTTCATTCCCAACCTATCGATTCCAAACTAATTATAACCCCTAATTAATTACGAAAGAATCATCTTCATTCCCAACCTATCGATTCCAAACTAATTATAACCCCTAATTAATTAGAAAGAATCAATCGATTCCAAACTAATTATAACCCCTAATTAATTAAGAAAGAATCATCTTCATTCCCAACCTATCGATTCCAAACTAATTATAACCCCTAATTAATTACCAAAGAATCATCTTCATTCCCAACCTATCGATTCCAAACTAATTATAACCCCTAACCTATTAATTACCAAAGAATCATCTTCAGTAACCTGTCAATTATCATATGATTATCCTCAACATCCTATTACCTGTCATCAATTCTCAGCAAATTTCCATATTTCCACAAATAATCAAAAACAATATAAAATCCTTTGATGTATTGTCTATTCTGGTCTTACAAAATGTCTCTTAGTTCCCACATAAACAATAGCGTTTACAGCACAAAGAAAGGATAAGTGAAAGACGAAATATCTTAAAAGTAATTTAATGTGCATACACGCACAGGATTTTTACACTTAAATCTGTACACAGAGGCTGCACCCATGTTAACATATCAACCTGAATTTATCTTTTAACAGACAAACTATCAGTAATTACATGAATGAAAATTACATCAGAACAAATTGCAGTTAAAACAGGAGCAGTACATCATTCGAGGTAATAAAAATAATTTATTGCTATAACTGTACATAAAACACTTGAATTTTCATATTTTTTTCATATGATTTAAAAGTTAAATTCTTTTATATGATGTACTGATACATTATGCATTTTTCATATATAAAAAAAATATTGGTTTCTTTAACAGCATCCTAAAAGAGCACTCGAGTGGAGTTTTCAAATGTAATACTGATATTTCTTTTCAGTATTACACATGAACATTTTTTTCTATTTTCATTGGAACTTTAATAATCTGTGTATGAACGTACAAAAATACAAATACAGTTCACGGCAATTACTCTATTATTATATTATGATCATCATCATTAAAAAAACTTACTCTATATTAGGCAATTTTACACAATTCTTATCACATATATCAAAGTAGGACTTCTCATAACAGGGAGAAAATTAGTACCAAACTTGCAAGGACCTGCCAAGTGCATCTATATTCATAAACATCACTAAGTCACGTTTATAAACCCCGTCTATGCCAACTTCAGTATTCAGCCCACCTTGGGATATCTTTCAAAATAAAATCTAAGCAAAGTTAATGTATAGTTCATGCATATTTTTCAAAGCCTCTCTTTACATACTGCAGTAATAAAAGAATATCCTTTTGCACTGAAACGTCTCCAGTGAACGAAATACTCAAGCATAAAGAGGGGACACTTATGGCAGGCTTTACAAGTCTAAGTACATGAGACTTGGAAAGGGGAGTCCAGCATCACACATTTTATCCTCGTGGACTTCTTGTCTGTTACCTAATATGAAGTTTTAATATATTGCCAACATCTCTCCAAAGATTTTTGCTTCAATTTTCCGCCAAAATTCATGAGGGTTGGAAAGACAAATAGCTAATGGGTTTGTATTAGAGTATTAGAGAAAAATACTTTGCGACGTAAACAAATGGGAACTTACAGCACACCTCTCGTGAATTTTGAAGAAAAATTGTAACCTTTTTAGTGAAAAACGAGAGAAAACAATATTGTAGTTAAATCCATACATGATAACAGGTGTCTCATTGTACAATTTTCTTAAGTGATAGTGTACAATAATGGCACAATTAAGTACAGTATTTTTTTTTTGTTAAAAAGGCACAACCTAATTATTCACAAAGCACCAGTACTCTGTGTTATTATGTTCCATCTCTGAGGGAAATATAAATACCTACAGTATAAATAGAAAAAAATCCAACTGAGAGAAGCAGAAGTTAGTATTAAGCAATTATTTATCATTACAATACCATAAACAAACAAGAGACAGAATAAGAAGAAAATGTTTCTGGGGGAAAAAAAGCAATGGCTGGTGCACTTTATGTTACACTAAAACCTAAACTGGCACCTACTGTATCTAACTGATTAATCACCTGAGTAAATTACATACATTTTATGCCTAAAACCATCGCCAAATCAGACAAAATAAGGAAGACCATTTTATATTTACTTATTTTGTTTCTCCGGTGATATAACCACAGTCGGTTTCGTAGAGCCACAAGGTTCTCCTCCAAACAATTATTTACACGTGTAACAGTGATCGAAGATTTATACACTATCACTGGGATACTGGGCATCCTTCAAAGACCTTGCCTTCGAAATGCCGTAACTTTCCACATATATAAAAAAGAGACATATCTAACAAAAAAATCAAGGAAATAAAAGTAGCTAAAAAAAAAAACACATACACAAAAAGAGGAGAGAAAAAAAGAGTTAAAAGATGCAAGGTTTAGCACCCGGTCGTGAGCAAACGCCTAAGGTTCATCCATGTGTGTGGCTCCGTTCCCGCTGCCCTTTATGCCGTTCATCTCCATGTCGTAGGTCTGAAACGAAGGGAAGAAAGTGGCCTTTAGAATGAGTGGTCTTTAAGCAGGAGCCGATTTCTCGTCTTCCTTCTGTACGAATCCGTTGTGAGAGCGGTGGTCGTGTTTGTGAGTGTCTTATTGTTTATGTATGTTTATAAATATTTGCAAAAGTCTTGGCTCTTCGATACCAAGTATGAAGATGTACTATACTGAACTGAAAGTCTTTAGTTTCTGTACATCTGGCTAGACTTTACTTTATGGAGAACAAAACAAAAATCTAATTTATTTTGTCCATAAAAAATACGAATAAACTTTTATCAACGACTCCATTCTCAACATAAACATTTTTTAAACTGTATTAACAGAGATGGTCCAATTTTTTTGTTAAAGGAATATTATTTTAAGTATTTTATTTATTTAATTTTAATATATTCATTTTATAGGTGTAAGCATTCCTTTACTTTATAAATATTTTAATTAGTCTTTTAAAGTTTATATCATCGTATCATCACATTTATTGTCCAAGCAAAAATTTGCAACCTTTTTGCAAGCTACTTATGAATCCATGTAAGTAACTCTCAACTGTTATTTTGAAATACAAATTCTATGTTCATGCTTTTATTAATTTAATAAAAGACAGGATTTCAAATTACAAATTGGATCAGGTAAGTCTATTAAAATAACTTTTGAATTCTATAATTAGCTTCAAATCAGTTACTAAATACTGGAAGATTAATTCACATCTACAGCTACAGAAAATAACTAAGATACAGTGAGCACTACAATAAATTTAGCCAAAGGCGTTTTCTCTCGTTTTGCTGTTGAATATGCAATGAAGCTGGACAACATTGCAGGCTTTACCAGTGCACATTTTATAAAGCGTAAAGCAAAGCTACTCTTTACGGTCTGGTGGTGTGAAGGCATGAAGTCACGCCTAATTGTGTGTGTGTGTATATAGCCTATTTACATTTCGAAAAGCTTGTACTGACCCTAACTTGCTTGCATTGACCCTCACAATCACACACATGCGCGCGCAAGCACACGTACACGCACGCGCGCACACGCATTCACTCGCACTCACTCGCACACGTACACGTACACGTACACGGACGCAAACGCACTCACACTCACGCACACGCACGCACGCACGCACGCACGCACGCACGCACGCACGCACACACACACACACACACACACACACACACACACACACACACACACTCTCTCTCTCTCTCTCTCTCTCTCTCTACAATAAGCACAACTAAATCCATTTTTAAAATGTACATTAGACTACATTTTTACCTCCCTCTTTAGACGTACAAAAATCTACATTTCCACACAGGCTCCACCCCAAGATTTTCCCAATCTAAGCTCACAACAACAACCAACCCTCGACAACTCCCTCGACGACAGCTACAAGCCCCCCCCCCCCCAAAAAAAAAAAACCCTTCTCAAAAAACGCCTTAAGAGATATTAATACGGAAGCAGAGTTAGTCGGCATACTTACATTGTCCCCTACCTTGTATGACGGGTTGTCATACGCGGCGTTGCTTCTCGAGGAGTTGATGTGGGCCTTGGCGTGGCTCTGCTTCCTCAGGAGGATCACCAGCAGGCGAGGAAGCCCACGCACGCGATGGCAGCTATGATGGCCACGGCGACCAGGGCGGCGTAGTACCCGTCCTTCTGCCCGTCGGCCTGCGTCGAGGGGTCTGCAGGGGCGTCGGGAGGGAGGGGGGGGGGAGGGGAGGGTGATGAATTAAGAGATGGTGGTATTTTGGTATTGTGGTATGAATATGAGAGGTATGAATTTGAGATTGGTATTTTGGTACGCTGGTGGTATGAATATGAGATTGGTGTTTTGGTATTGTGGTATGAATATGAGATTGGTATTTTGGTATTGTGGTATGAATATGAGATATTCTCCTGGTATGAATTTGAGATTTTGGTATTTTGGTATTGTGGTATGAGTTTAAGACGGTGGTATTTTGTTCTAGTTTGGGTGTTAGATGACCTGTAGATTTATGGATACTTTCGTAGCTTTATTCCTCGATGTCATAGATGATTGGATTTTTTTTTTTTGGTCTTTCTTTCGATCTTATGGAATTAAACGCTAATTTTGGAAAATCTAGGCAAATATAAACCTCAACAACATAAGAAAGACAAAAAATAACTGCAAATAACAGGCCTCGTCTCAACACAAACTTCAACATTCCAACAAGTGAAAAAAAAAACACAAACACACACAAACAAAACAAAAAATAAACAAGACATCCTCAATCCAGCTAAAGTGACCTACCAACTTCACTCTTCTCCGGCTTGGGGAGCTCGCCAGCCTTCGTGGTAATGGCGATCACGTTACTCTTCTTCTTCCGTCCGTTGGAGAGGTAAGCCTCCAGCCACACCTTGTACTCGACGTCGGGCTTCAGGTCGCTGAGGAAGATCTTCTTCTCGTGGCCCGTCTTCGGGATCTTGAACGTCTGGGCGTCCACTCGTTCGTCCTCGCGCACGTACACTGCCCTGAAGACGTTGACGTACTTCTCCTCTGGGTCTGGCACGCCCGAGTAGTACAGCTCGGCGGTCTGGGATGAAACCTTGCCGGGGCGAACCTCGATCTCGAATTCGTAAGGATCTGTAAAAATGGTATTGACTCAAAAACAAATTTTCCCCGGTAAAGACTTCGTGGAAATGATATTCTCACCTTTCTATAACCGCGAGAGGCAATAAGTCACACAAAATAAACATACTTTACAAAGAGGCAAAATATACTTATGGGAGCCACGGTAAATAAAAAAAAACAATTCACCGAGAAAAATGCATCTAAGGACCAGACACATAGACACAAATATCCTCATACCTTCTTCAGGCAGTGTCATGAAGGTGATGGGCTGAGTGTTGGAGACCTGTGTGGTCTGGTCCTCGCGAGTGAAGAATACCAGGTCGACTGTGTAGTTGGTTCCTGGCTGCAGGTCACGCAGTTCCATCTGGTTGCTGTCACGGTGGAGCAGCGGGCTAATATTAGGGATCTGCAACAAAGAAAAAAAATAGCATTAAACTATCTGAGAGAGAGCGAAAAAAAATATATATCCAAAACAAAATCCCCATCAATTCCCGAAGTTGAAAAAAAAAGTGAAATCAAATTGAATTCCGTCATGAATATGCTACACTGATGCTACACTGATGCATCGATATTAACACACCAGTTTGTCTTTCTCGGCATATTTGACTTGCACGCCATCGATGTACTGCAGTTCGTAGGCATTGAAGCGTCTCCATGATATCTTGGCGGTTGTCTTAGACACTTCTGTGGCGTAGAGCTCGGCGTTCACATCCAGGCGGGGTAGAGGAGTCGTGGTCGAGGGCGTGGTGGCTGATGTGCAGATATGATAGATGGAAATAAGTTTGTGACATTCAGAAGGGTTATTCTGATAAGGTGGCTAGTAGTTACACGTATAAAGTTTGCCGTCTTCAATGCTTTGTTGGAAATATATGTATATGTGGAGTATGCAGCATTAATGACCTTTATCTTTGCGTCTTTCATCACAAAAATGATCTCCGGAAAAGTCAATCAATAAATAAAGAAAAAAATATCGATCGATAAATAAATGAACGAACCAACACATAAAATAATGAACACAAAATCCACCAAACCAAGACAAAACCCAATCACCTTCAGCCATTGTCGTGTACGTAAACATCGGAGACGTGACTGGCTGGGCCCCCTGGACATTCAACACGACCTGCATGGCATAGGAGGTGTCGGGTTCCAGGCTGGTCATGACGTGGTTCCACTGCGAGTGGTTGATGATCGTCCCCATGGGTACCAGGATCTCTTGCTTCCATGTCTCTGGGTCTGCGTTAGCTCTGAAATGATCAATAGCCCTTCAACGAGTCCATTCAAGCTAACAGATTCGCGTGAATATACCCAGAATCATACTTTACAAACCATCCATACCCAATAACATACCCAAACAACGACCCCCCCAAAAAAAATCCCACATAAGCGCTTAAAAACATACTCAAAAAGCTCGTTTGACCAAAAGACCAAAAAGAGGGAAAGGAGAACACATACACGGGATCGCTGGTGAACCTGACAAGAAGTTCTCCTGGCAGACCCTTGTACACTGGCGGCGTGTCGAAGGAGATCTGAGCTGTTCTTGCATCCAGGGCCTGAACAACGGGTTCCGCAATGCTGTTCTCTGTGGAAGGAGCGATGAGAAGTGTCACTAGCTATCACATGTCAGAACAGAAGACTGATATGTGTAATTGAATCCGGATATCTTTTTTTTTTCTTTATTAGGAAAATCACAATTGTTATTGATAAAACAATTGAGTAACTAATGACTCGTGATTTATGAGAAAATGAAAAAAATGGTTACCTCAATAATAAGTAAATCGGGAAGGATTTAAGATTAGTTAAGAGTTACTGACTTTATTTCTGCTTGATAATAGGGCTGAATTTTACTGAAATTAGGGTTTTATTTTATAGTAGTAGTATGATGTTAACAACCATAATATTCCGTTAGTAGAAATAATACACAGTCAACAAAAAAAAGTTATTACAATACACAAAACAAAACAAAAAATTAGTGCACAGAAAAGAAAGAAAGAGAGAAAAACGAAAAAAAAAAAAAAAAAAAAAAAAAAACATCACATAAAAAAGACAAAGAGTCAGTCTCACAAGCCATGAGTTAATAGCCCCCAAAAACAACAACAACAACAACACGACGGCGTAACGAACACGCACGCACGCACGCACCTGCACCAAAGTGAGGGGGTGAGGGGGGGCCGATGGGCACGAAGCCGGAGGTGGGGGTGCCATTCAGGATTGAGATCGGCGGGAGGGGGAACACAGCCGACACACCTACAAACACCACGTGCGTGTTATTTTGGTTGGTGGGTGGGTCTTGAGGGGCGGGGCTTGTGAGGGGGGGGGGCTTGTGATGGGGAAGGGAATGGGGCGTATGGGAGGGGGAGGGGGCGGGGCTTGTGGAGGGGGCTTGTAGGGGCTTGTGAGGGGGAAGGGGGGCGGGGCGGGGCTTGTGGGGAGGGGGCGGGGGCTTGTGAGGGGGAGGGGGGCGGGGCTTGTGGGGAGGGGGCGGGGCTGGCGGGGCGGCGGGTTCAGGAGGGGGTGGGGCGTGCGGTGGGAGGGTCAGGAAAAGAGTGGTGGAGTTAGGGAGAAGAAGGGAGTTAGGAGGAGACAGGAAAGGAGAAAGGGGAGGGAAATGAGAAGGGACTGAACAAGAGAAGCAGCAGAGGACAGAGAGAAGAGAGAAAATAATGGAGAAGGGAGAGAGGACAGAAAATAGAAGGAGGGAGAGGGAATAGAAAGGAGAAAAGAGAGTGAAAAGAAAGGAGACGACAGATGATGAGACGAGAGGCGACAGAAGAAAACAAAGAGGAGAGACGGGAGAATTGAAAAGAGATAAAAGAAAGGAGAGAATGACAAGATAAGGTAAAAAAATGGGCGAAAAAAGGAAGGAAAAATGACGGAAAAAAGGGAAAGAGAACGATTGGGGGGGCGGATGGAGGAAAGGAGGAGGGGGGAGACGGAAGGGGAAGGAGGGAGGGGGGGGACGGAAGGAGGAAGGAGGAAGGGAGGGAGAGGGGGAAGACGGAAGGAGGAAAGGAGGGAGGAGGGGGGGGAGACGGAAGGAGGAAAGGAGGGGAGGGGGGGGAGAAAGGAGGAAAGGAGGGAGGGGGGGGGGAGAACGGAGAGGAAAGGAGGGAAGGGGGGGGGGTAAATTCATCTTTGGCCGATTGCGCAATGTGTTAGTCTTTGTCAGAGATGTTGACATTTTGCACTCGTGTTGGCCGAAGGATATTCAAAACTCGATACACAAAACAAGAAATTAACAATGTGGCGAAACTATCATTGTTAGGTAACCATTATTCGAAAAATAAATTATTTCAGATTAATGAACAAGCCAAGGTTAATTATATAAAAAAAACTATTTTACGAATATGAAAAAAGCAAGACCACAGGCTCCACATCATTAGACATGGCAATAACTTTAATTACTTTTAATAATAATAATAATAGCTTTAATTACCTTTCTGACAGGTAGCAATAAATTTAGGACACTTCTCGAAACATCAAAAAAAGGAATAACAAAATAAAAGAAGTTTTACGACCGAAAAATAGAAAATAAAGTGATAATTAATGATAAAAAAAGATAAAACATACGGAACATTCTACGGAAATTAATGTATGAATAAAATATATATATATGCATTTGAATGTGGTGTCTACACGAGTGCAAAGAAAAATGTCAACAACTCAATTTAACTCACATTACACATTTCCTGTAGTCACAGAAGAATTATTTACACATCACTACATATTCGTTTAAGGAAGTGTTTATAGTTAGTATTGTTAGTTGTGTATTGTTAATAATGCGCGTAAAATAATCATCAATATTATAGACATGGAATAAAGAAAATAAATAAATTTGCATGCATCTGTAGCCCTCCATAATATATGTACAAATATATACATATA